AAATACATTGTAGGCTGGCCTTGCACTCATAGTAATACTCCTGCCTCTGACTCCCAAGTACTGAGATAATAGATGTGGGCTATCATATCTGCTTCTTTTAGTTGATGTTGTTGACTGAAATACTACATCCTTCTCAATAGTCTTTCACTTTTATTGTCTGAAGGGGAGCTTCAATACATGGCTCCTACATAACTTTTTTAAAAAATTTATCTGTTTGTGTATGAGTGTGTGACTATCGTCGTGCTATGGTACATGTGTTAAGGTCAAAGGCTAATTGTGGGAGTTGGTTCTCCCCATTTACCATGTGGGTTCTAGGGAACAATCTTGGGTGATCAGACTTGGAACAGGCAGTTTTCCCACTGAGCCAGCAGGGTGGTCCAGCACAGAGCTCTTCAAGAGATACATACCTTCCCTTCTCTGTTGTGGGGAGAGGACGATGCGATAGCACCTTGGAGAAATGATTTAGACTCTAAGAACAGCTGCTTGTCCCAGTGTCTCCTATAGATGTAGGCTCTGTGATCCTGGCCTTTTACCCTGACAGAAAAGTGAACACTATGAGCAGACACGAGCACAGGCTGACAGCAAGTGGGGTAGCACAGAGATATAAAAGTTCCCTAAACCTAAGTATCAGGTAGGTCTCCTTGCAGATGTGGTATTATGTCCTTTGGAAGATCTGTCCTCCTGATGGCCATTGACATCTAAGTCTCCATTTCCCTGGGTTGTCTTCAGGACAACTTTAATGGGGACAGAAAGCTCATGTCCCTGTGAAAACTGAAGGAGGGCAGGGGAGGGGCTGAAGGCAACAGCTCCTAGGGTCAGCTGGATCCCTTCTCATGACTTAAAGGTATTCCCATTAAAATGAAGGTATAAAATACTCCTAGCAAGTTGAAAGAAACCACGGGTCTTATTCTAAAATTCTTATGCAAGATCAGTCATCATCAAGGACCTGATCCCAATTCATTAGTCTGTTACCAGAGCAAGGTCATAGCACCTCCAGGGCCATCTGATTCTGATGCACAGTGCCATGGGTAGGGCTGGTCCCAGCTGAGTAATAAAAAATTCTTAGTGAGCCAGAAAAAACAGGAGAGGATCTCTAAATAGTTTTGTCACCAGTGATGAACTGACTCACCTTGGCTGAGTTTCAGAAAGTTCCTGGAACTTACTTATATGTTTTACTGTATTACCGGTCAAAACTGGTCTAGTTACCACCATTTAATCAGCATCAGGCCATGCCCCTTGGCTAAGGAGATCCATGACTACATTCAGCTGTGGTCAAAGTCCTTCTGAGAATTACCAACACTGATTAGATCCTAGCCATATCCATGAAGGCCCACGTCAAAAGCAAAGGGCACAGAAAGTGTCCTTAGGGACTCCTGGTGGGAGCTGACATCTGAGGTCACAAAATATGAGAGCTCTAGGCAGCCATCCCTGTGATACTAGGTAGGCAGCCAGAAGGCCTTTTTTATTCAGAATTGGGAATATAATTCCCAGTGTGCCCACAAAAGCCCATATGACTGAAAGGAAGCTAAATTCTTAAGCAGATCTGCAGACTTTCACAATTTCTGTGTGTCCATGCAGTCCAGTTCCTGTGCTGGCCACCAGAGACACAAGTGTTTACCACAGGCTAGGATGACAGATAAGGATAGGAACACAGGAGGGGGCCATCTGTGTGCCAAGGATTATTGTTATTCAGGTTCAAGACTTATTATACCACAATTTGCTTTCTTCTCTTAAGCTATAGCATTTGCCATTAGGACATGATATTGAGACATCTACAGAGTTTATTCTTGACCACACCACAATAGAGTCAGACACACACAAAAAGAGAAAAATCACACAAAAACCAATAGTGTTTTAACTAAGTTGGTTGGGCCACATTCATAGAAATTCTGGGCTGCACGTGGCCTCATGTGCCTGTCTGTGGGTTGCTGGTTGGACACACCTAGTACAAGAGAAAGGTCCAAAAGATAAAGCCAGTGTAATTGACCAAATCCACGTGCTCCCAATTCTTCTGAGAAGCCAGGTTCACATTGACCATCACATAGCAGAGGGTTCACTCCCTCATGCATGCAGATACCTTCTATTCAGGCCATGGTCCTTAGGGTGTGTCTCTCTGGACACAGTGTCCTACTCATAGTCATGGAAGAAGCCCCCATAAATGCCCCTGAAGAACACAGGAGGCCTCTCGGCAGCTCTGGTGTGTGAAGGAAACTGAACTCAAAGCTGAGCACAGCTGCTTTGCCTTGGCTCAGAGATCATCAGCTGTGCAGGGCAAAACACCACAGAGATAGATACAGGCCAGGGCTACGATACAAGAAACAGTGATATGAAACACAGACTCTGTATCGAGGTCCCTGAGCTTGAAACATGGGTTTCACTTTGAGCTACTTTCCAGGAAGTAGCTGGGTCCAACAGCCAAGAGTTCATGTATTAAACAAACAAATAAATACACAAACAGAAAAACAAAATGTGTTTGGAGAGATAGCTCAGTGAGGAAAGTGCTTGCTACAAGCAAGAGGATCCGAGTTTAATCCCCAGAACTCACATAAAAATGTTGGGTGTCTACATGCATATTTGTAAAGCCAGCACTGGGTAGGTGGAGACAGGAAGGCCTCCAGGGTTTCCTGGCCAGCCAATCTAGCCTACTTAGCAAGTTTCAGGTCAGTGTGAAAACCCATCACCAGGAAGAAGATGGACAGCACCTGAAGAATGACATTTGAGGTTCTATCCTGACCTGTACATACATGCACACATGAGCACATGCATGTACGAGCATGTGCACTCCCATATAAACATACATATGAACACATATATATACACACAAACATTTAAAATATGTACATAGCCACATCTTCTCTCCACATGGTAAGAATCTTGTGAACTTTAAATGCTTATGATCTTGGTAGTGTGGATTTTCTAGGGCTACATAGTCAGTGCTTTTAGCCTAAAACTAATGATAATGAACCAGTAACCAAATGCAGCCAAAGTAATGGAGATTGTGACTCCCCCACCCCCACCACCCGAAGCAGGAACCTGGGAAATGACCCACCAAGGAGAGCAGGACAGACATTATATAGGGAGTACTCAGCACAGGTTTGATCCAGCCAGCTGGATGAGGTCTTGAGTCCAAGGAGCAGAGTCTACGGTGTTCCAGAGGTCTGAGAGATTAAAGGAAACTGTGGCCCTTGGCTGGGTGGTTGCAGGCAGTGATAGCTCGGCACAGCTGTCAGAATCTAAGACTTTTGGTCTGTGTCTGGGGGTAATCAGAGGTCACTTCTCTACTTCACATGTACACTTACCTATGCCCCGCTACAGGGCCTCTATCCACCACCCTCAGAACAGAAGATAGCAGGGACTTTACACCCCTCATGTGGTGGGTATACTTTACATGATGTCCCGATCGCTACTCACACACAGAGCTCGAAAGCTCCACCTCTGAGGATCAGAACTCAGGGCTCGGGTTCACACCTATTATACTGTCTCAGGGAATCCTCACACAGACACGTGATCAGAGAGACCAGCGTGCAACCATGCCGTGTAGTCACTGTCCTTCCTCACTCACAGCCTTTCTTGTTTTTCATTTCTTTTCTTCTTAATTTTAAAAACTTAAAAGATAGGCACACAAAATAATGGCTGTCATTACTTGCATTTTATATTTATACTTTATCATGTATTTTGCTCATATTCACTCCTTGTTAAATGTCATGTGGTCAGTGCCTCACAATCGCTAGAAATGATCCCTTAGCCACTTGATAAATAACGGTAGAAATCTCAGCTATCTCATAGCATGGACAAGGGAGGGAAAATGAAGAAATAAAAACCACATGCACTTCAGGGGAGAAAATGATATACAGGATTGCACACATAAGCAACTTGCTGCCTGGTAGCTTGTATGTAGAAGTCACTTACTCAATAAGCAAATCACTGTAAATGTAGAGGATTATTGTTGAAGGTCTGAAATCATGTCCTAGGGTCTTAATGAGGTTGCCAGGATTGACTGAAAAGTGACCTGAAGTCCTCATAGACTTAAATGAGGGAATCTGAACCATGATGGGCTGTCAAAAAAGTGATCTGATCATGTAGTCCCAAACCTCTCACTCTCTAGTGGGCCAATTTAAAAAACAAAATCAGGGAACTCAAGAGCAAGGAGCAAACTGGAATTTTGGAAACACTTAACATTACCACCCTGCTCCCATACAGTTAGGGACCCTCTTGTTTGCCTCCCAGTTTCCCCAATGAATAAACTATCTCTGCTCCTGTTCGCCAGGAGGGTCCCATTTATCTGGCAGAAGGAATGCTCAGAATTGTGGCTGAAATTCCAGGAAAGAGAATTAGATCAAGATTTAGAGTTTACAAGAGTGAGAGCCTTGTATTGGGACATAACGTCCAAGAGACCATGATGAGTGATGAGGTTTCTGGTCCAGACGGCAGCAACATCTGACACTAAAAGCAGGTCTTGCCTGCCAGCGGCAGGATGTATCCTGGGCAGGAAGGAAGCATGAGGAACATGGCTTCTGTTGCCATGAGAGAATCAAGACACAGGGTCTGCTTTCCTTGGCATTTGATTACCTTCCTGTTCACCGAGGTTTAGTTAGTGCTTGTCTTTCACCTCTTAGTCCTTGACTCACTAATTTGCATGTTAATTTACTCATTCCACAAATATTCCCGAGGTGTCTAATATATGTTGCATGCTATTTCAGGCACTAGAGAAGACCAGGGGAGAAAAGAATCCCATGTCCTTTCCAATGGGGAACTGGAACAGTATATAGAATGTCTGAAGTTGGTCAGAGCAGGTCAATAGAGACAGGCAGTAGAACATGCTAACAAGAAGAGGGATGGTCAAGGAAAGCCTAGCAGGGGCAGATGGATGGAGGGATGGAAGCCATGGCCCCATTCTGAGAGTGAGAGAAGTGGTTTTTGTAAGATGTGGTCAAAAAGCATGTGTATGGACCAGGCAGCACCAACCCTGAGGAGGCTGCAGTGGCCCCCGTGGTACTCACCTCCTCCAGCCTCCGTCTCTGCTCTTTCTGCTCCTCAATGCGCTTCTGGCGCTCAGCCAGTAGCTGCCTCTTGTGTTCCTCATTCTCCCGCTGCTGCTGCTCCAGTTGTTGTCGCCGCAGGGCCTCTGAGCGCTCCTTGTTGGCCAGCTGTAGTCTCAGGAAGTCCCGCCGCAGTGTTGACTCTCCTGGTAGGTTGAGAATGGAGCTGTGGACAGAAAAGAACTGTGTGTGATGAGGGTCATTGCAACTGTGGGTTCTGGGCATGAACACAAGAGAACAGTGCTTAGCCCCCTTTTCAAAATGGCTATCGCATACATACGCTGTCCCTATCCCAAAAGGAATATCATACCCTCCTCTAATCTGTCCACACCACTCCCTCCCCAGTGCATGGCAAAGATGTGCTTCATAAGATTTTAATGCATGTGCAAGCTCTAAGCCATAGGTAAGCTTATCTCCACATATACGAATATCTAGCAGGGGCTACGGAGATGGCTCAATGGTTAAAGAGCTTGCTATACCACCATGAGCCTGAGTTCATATTCCCAGAGCCTACAAAGAAAGCTGGGTCCAATATCATAAATGTCTGTAACACTACGTCCATTTGGGAAGATGTGAGGCTGCGAGAGGAGAATTCCAGAAGTTTGGAGGCCAGATAGCCTGGTGTACATAGCCACCAACAATGAGAGACTCTGTCTCCAAGATGGTGGAAGGAAAGCCCAACACCAGAGGTTGTTCTCTGATCTCTAGACATGCACACATGTGCGAACACACACACACACACACACACACACACACACACACACACACACACAAATACATGTGTGTGTACATGCTCTCTCTCTCTCTCTCTCTCTCTCTCTCTCTCTCTCTCTCTCTCTCTCTCTCCCTTCCTTTCTTTTTTTGTTTGCTTTTTTTGAGACAGGCAATAGAGCAAGAGGGGTCTTACTTTATTCACAGGACCAGATGTCCTTCATGCACCTCCTTGATAGCTTACCCCAAGGCCCAACAGGCAGAGGTCATACTGCTCAGGAGAAGATGTAATGGGCCAGGAGAAACAATGCTTAAGACTAGGTTGACAATGAGCCAAGATCGCAGGCCAAGTTTGTGCAGTCAATGCTTGTCTCAATATACCTGTGTTGAAGGGCATGGTTCTAGCCACAAAGCACATGCTTGGGACTGTATCTCAGGAGACTGAGTCCTGGATTGTGTTTAATATAGTAGGTATTTAGACAAAAGGGGGAAGTGTTGTAGGAACTCTTCCACCAATAGCTTTGGGGTACTGGCCTTAGGGCGTGGCCTGCGTTGCTACCTGAGGACTGAAAAATCTGGAAGAGGAAGTGTGTTCTCTCTTGCTCTGGCTTTTTCAGTCTTCATGTAGCACTGCAGGCCATGCCCTAAGGCTGGTACCCAAAGCTACTGGCAGAAAGAATTCCCACAACATTGAAGTGTATGTGTGCATGCAAATGCATGTGAGTATCCGTGTGTGTGTGTGTGTGTGTGTGTGTGTGTGTGTGTGTGTGTGCGCGCGCGCGCGCGCGCGCCCACGTGTATATAGAGGACATGAACTTCAGTGTTATTACTGGTGGTCTCAGGCTTTCCAATGCCAATCTAACTGCAGGAGACCAACTGAAAGTTATGATTTCTGGTTCTTTAAGTCAACCTATCAGGGAGAGGGAGGATGGCTCCCGGAGATTTGTTTAAACCTAGCCTGTTGCATAAGTGGTTCTCCACCTGTGGGTCACAGCCCTTTGGGGGTCAAATGACCCTTTCATGGGGGTTGCATATCAGATTTTTACATTATGATTAATAACAGTAGCAAAATTACAGTTTTGAAGTAGCAAGGAAAATAACTTTATGGTTGGCGGTCACCACAACATGGGGGCCGTATTAAAGGGTCACAGTGTTAGGAAGGCTGAGAATGACTCCCTTAAAGTTTGGTAAAAGTTTCTGCCTAAAATAAATCCACTGGACATACAATTCCTCATTGCTGTTATGGGTCAGGTACTGGGACAGGCTGTAGGGAGATTGCATCAGGTAGATACTAGATAGAAAATAGAAATGGGGGTTGGAGCTCAGAGTAGGGAGTTCTGAACAGCAGCTCATTCCCATTCTTGATTGTTAACTGGATGGGCTGTTGTGAAACATAGGCCCCAGATTTCCCAAATCAGCCTCACTTAACTGCCTGACACTATGAACATTCCAATAATGAATCCTGGTTAGTCTCCAAAAGGAGCTAAATATGAGGTGCAGACAGGTGGGTTCCTGGGGTTCGTTTGCCAGCTAGCTTGGCCTGCTTTGCAAGCTCTAGGTCTAAAGGAGACCATGTCTCAAAAAACAAAAACAGAAAACAAAACAAAACAAAAAACCCAAGGTTGACTTCTGGAGGATGGAGCCCATGTCCGCCTCACCCACAACGACACACACATGTGCATTGACATGAATATGCCACCTCCAAAAATCCCATAGCCACTCACCAATATCATAGGCATATGGTGATCAGAATGTCCCTTTGTGGTTGAATACCCTGCAGACTGCTGAAAGATTATACTGCAATATCCAAAGTTAAGGTGCCAGGAGATTTTCCCACCCATGTGCAATAGCACAGACCTCAGCTTCAGTGTGATGTCATTTACATTATATGCTTGACACCCCTCAGTGGGGTTTTCTAGAGGATTGTAGGAAGAAATACTGTGAAAGGAAGACTTGGTCCACCATGATTTGAGAATAAAAAAGCCTCACTTTGCCCCATGAATATACCATCTCCCTTATAGATATTCCTAAGAAATTCTTTAAACTCCACAAGATGGAACCCACAGTGCTGAAACCCCCTTTTGGGATAGCCCACTCTAAACTCTCGTCAGAGTGTTTGCTTTGTTTTGTCAAGTAAACTTCAGCTTGAACTGTGTTTCTCTACTGAATTCTTTCCTCTAAGAAGATAAAAATCCAGAAAACTCCTGTAACAGACAAATATATTCTCCTTCTAGAGTTACTTTCTTGTGATAAAGACAGGCAAATTATTAGAAATAAAATAACAGACATTCATAGAAAAGACAGAAATGGTAGTTTAAAGGTGTGGTGGTTTGAAAGAATATGACCCCCAATGGGAGTGGCACTAATGGGAGGTGTGGCCTTGTTGGAGTAGGTGTGTCCTTATTGGAGGATGTGTGTCACTATGCTGGTGGGCTTTGAGGTCTCCTATGCTCAAGCTACAACCAATGACAAACATTACTTCCTACTGCCTGTGCAAGATATAGGACTTTCAGTTCCTGTTCCATGGTTTGCATTCATACCACCATGTCCCACCATGATGATAATGGACTAAACCTCTGAAACTGGAAGCCAACTCAATGAAATGTGTTTCCTTTATAAAAGTTGTCACAGTCATGGTATCTCTTCACAGAAATAGAAACCAAAACTAAAACATAAGGGTTAAAACTTACAGTGGTAAGGAGCTGAGGTAAGGATTAGGACTCTGTTCCAAATGGGGTTATCAAGAGGACTACTCCAGGGAGGTGAGAGTTGATAGAGAGGAAGGCTACTCCAGGCAGAAGGGAAAGCAAAATTAGTCCTTGGTGGAAACAAGCTGGTGTTGTTCTAGAACTGCTGTCTGGCCTGTCCTCCAGGGGCAGAGGCAGCAAGGAGTGTGGCACAAGAGTGGTCAGAGACAGGCCATCAGAGAAATATGTGGACACGGGAGCCATGCCTACAAAGGCTGTTGGCTGAGTCATAACATGAGAGGGCCATTGGCTTCATCTGCATGGTATAGGAGAGAAAACGAAGCTAACAATGTTTCATGTCGGAGGCTTGACCCAGCAAGGAGCAATGGGATGAACCTCAAAGAAGTATTTGGGGATAGAATTAATGAAGCTCTTGGAAAGATCTAATGTGCAGGGTGAAGGATGACTTGCAGTTCCACTTGGGCTGCTGGTGACAGTGGTGGCAAGAAATGGGATGAAGGTTTCAGGATGAGGGGCAGGTTGTTGACAGTTGACAAGTGTATCAGTTTGGTTTCGGTGAGTTGCTCGAATCTGTATGAGGGCATTCCTTGGGAAGTTTGGGATGGGAGTCTCCTGTGAACCTCCTCTACAACTCAGTGTCTTGTGTAAAATTCTAAAGCAACTTCTAAATGGTGCTGCTTATACACACAAGTCACATGCTATGAGCAAAGGTTGGGAACCCAATATCACATATACACAAGGATGCCTCATTAATCTCCACTGATATTGGACTAATACCAGGAGACCTCGGTTATATTAATGACTCAATTACTAACTTTGTGTGTGACCTGGTGACATCCTTGAGCTGTTGTCTCATGTCTAAAATGGGAAAAACCATCATCTCTTTCTATGTTTTAGGATTTCAAGAAGACCAATTAAACATGTTCAAAAAATGGGACTTGGTGCATAATCTTCCCCATGATATAATGACATGTTATAATTACAACTGCTGGCTCACCAAGTGACCCCTGACACACACAAAGTCTTGGGAAGACTGGGTTTTTCGTTTCTTCAAAGAAAAGTCAGAGGCCTGACACAGCCAGCTGGGCTGGAAGCAGAGTGTGGTGTCTCTGCAAGCAGGGACTAGGGTCCTTTGCTCTAGAGATGCTCATATTGCATGCCACTGTTTGACAGCTATTGTCTTTATGCAGCTAACATGTTCTGATGGAAGAAAAAATTCTCCTTCAGTCTTTAACTATTGGAAATCTTGTGGCAGATAAGAGAAAAACTAATGGCCCTGTGAGCTCAGTCCTGACCTCTTAGGGTAGCTTAACAAGAACCAAGGTTGTCAGGTTTAAGTTGACTTAAAACACTGGTTCTCAACCTTCCTAATGCTGCAACCCTAACACAGTTGCTCATGTGATGCTGACCCCCAATCATAAAAATGAAGTCTTTGCTACTTCATAACTGTAATTTTGCTGTTATGAATTGTAATGTAGACATTTGGTGTGTAAGATATCTGATATGTGATCACCAAGGCGGTCACCACCAACAGGTTGAGAACTGCTGGCTTAAAAAGAGACCAAGGCAGAGTAAACCCTTCCCTTCTAAAGTTGCTTTTGGCTAGTGTTTATCACAGCAACAACACAGCAAACTAGGATAGCCTTCACATGTATACACATGTGCTAACCACACACAGGAAGGAAGGAAGAAAGGAAGGAAGGAAGGAAGGAAGGAAGGAAGGAAGGAAGGAAGGAAGGAGGAAATTGCTGTGTCTAGTTCATTCCTGCAGCATGGTCCCTCAGCAGAACAGGACACTGTGTCAGCAAGACAGCAACTGGTTCTTATACTCAAATCTGAGGGCTAGATACCTTGGAGTGCTGGAGGGCATGGACCCATATGTCTAGCGACCTTGCTGCGATGTGCATTTTCTCCACAATTAACAGTGCATGGTCCATGGGATACACAGAGCTGCTGCTGTCCATGGAATCCTTTGACCACAGAAAAATTCCCACGCCATGAGCACACCAGCCTCAACTACCCATACATATAGATGGGAAGAAAGCTGGGCTCAAAATCAAGCAAGCCTCCCAATGTGGAGAAAATGGCATTAAAGAGCACTGGGTTCCATGGCCAGGGGTGGGGGACAACAGGAATGATGTGAACATTTCTGCCATGGTTCACCTCTAGAGGACAATTCAATTTTTTTTATTTTAGAATCACCTCCTTCAGGGTTGGTCTGTGTGAAATATCAAGGCACATGGCAGGGACCATGGCCACCTGAAAGGGCCTCCCAGAGTGATGACATAAGAAACTGAATGACTTCAATCTGAAAATGTCAGTTAGCTCTCCCCAAAGTATTTTAAATACTTTCAGCACTGCATTAGCCAGATAATTGCTTCCTTCCTTCCTTCCCACTCTATATCTCCATGTGTGAGGAAACAAGGTCGTGAATACAGGCCATACATCTTGGCAGACAAGATAAAGAATATGCTGATTTGCACGTTTTTTTTTACAAGAGTCTGCCTAGGGACAATTTCACACATTAATGAGTATGTATGTGGGCACTACATTAACTCCTGGTGCATTCTTTTAGACAGAGCAATAAATCAAAAGGAGAGTGCATTTCAAGCAAGTCTGGCCCAGATGGTGGCAGTCCACAGTCCCAGCCTTCTTCCACATACCTGGGTTCCCCGGAGTCGTTCTCTTCCTCTTCCTCCTCACTTCCACTGTATTCATACTCAGTCTCGTCTGGAAAGAGAGCACAGACTGTTAGTGTAAAAGCTGCTGCTGCTGCTCAGAACAGATCACCCCTCTGTTTCATAAACTTTCATGAGCCACAGAACTGTGGTCAATGGACCTCATCTGTGGCCCCAATCCCATAAGGCGATGGAGCTGCAAATTCTCCCTGCCTAGGGATACCGAAGCTGCCCTAACTTCACAGAGCAATGCAGATTCACCTGTGTGTGGCAATGCTGGCATGAGCCAACACAGGAGAGTGCACTACACAGAAGCATGTACAATATGTCCTATTTGATAGAAACACATGGTCTCCATACTAACCTATACTAAAAACTTAGAACATGTGATGTGCGGGTAGTCCTAAATTTAATCCCACTCCTGATTTCAAAAAAAAAAGAATAGGTAAATGTGATTAATTTACCTGCAACATTCATTTAATTCAGTAAAATAATAAACAAGTTGTGTAATAATAAGATCAAATATTTGCTTTAGACATGATCAAAATATAATGAGAAAGACATAAAAGGTAATGTACAATTGTCATTTCCATGGCTATAAAGAAAAGAAATGAATGTTTGGTAGGAATCTCACATGTAAGCAACTAGTGTTAAATATTTCATATTTGTTCTCTCATTTACTTGTGATAATAATTCTCTGAAATAAGGGAAGTAATCAGATTACAAATTAGCAATGCCTTTATATTAGTAAAAGGTCTATTTAGAATTCAATATTGATATGTTTCAATGTGAAAACCAGTGTCTCCCCCAACACATTACACCCTGAGCAGAAGCACACAAAAGGCAATGGGGAGCGAGAGTGGGGAGCAGCTTTCTCTCCTTGCTCAGAATGGAGGAGTAGAAGCAGTGAGGCATTGAGGAGGTAGTGAGCTAGGTCTTGGAAGGCCAGTGGCCCTTTTGCTGGCAGCAGCTGGAAGGATAGGAAAATGACATTGTGAATGATACACCCCCACTGAGGCTGGCAGTGTTACATGTTCAAGCAACAGTGACTCCCTGGAAGCTAGGTGTCTGGATGTGGAAAAAGTAGATGGTGGGACCAAGGCCACCAGGAGAACAGTGACTCTCAGATGGTGAGACCAAGGCTACCAGTGCAACAGTGACTCCCAGATGGTGAGACCAAGGCCACCAGGGGAACAGTGACTCCCAGATCCTCATATGCTGTGCTCAGTACTTTTCAACAGATGATGAAAAGCTCTCAGAGAAGCCTTGAATCAAAAGAAGATGTCACTGGACGGTCACTCGTTTATAGATGTGGGTTATTAATTACTAGCATGAAGACATTTGTGCATCCCTTCAACAGGACTGGAATCAAAATTTTGCTGTATTTCCTGGTGCCAAAATTTGCTGGTATGAGAAAACCAGATTGGCTAAAAATCTATGTAGATATTAGAGAGACAATGAAGGAAACCAGTGTGATGAGTTCAAGTGTATTGTATAAAGTCATACATAAACATCATACATTTATGTGAGCACGAAATTTTCAGGCTACCTATTTTTAAAGAATGATTTCACCAAAAGTAAAGAATCTGCAGTAGAACGGGGGTGGGCCTAGGCCCTATCCCAAAGGACACGATAGACTCTGATGACACCCTATGGAAGGCCTCACCCTTCAGGGGGAGCAGAAAGGATATATGATAGGTAGGGGTTTAGTTGGGGGGGTTGTAGGGGAGGAGGGGAGGGAGAGGGAACTGGGATTGACATGTAAAACAATCTTGTTTCTAATTCAAATAAAAAAAGAATCTGCAGTAGAGTGTCTATAACTCATACAAAACCAATGTGTTCTCAAAATGGAAAAACAGAGAGTTCAAAGTAACACAGAACTTTTTTACCTAATAGAGGAAACTATAGTGAACAAAAGAAGCACACAATTATTCCAATCGCTTCTATTTTCTAAAATAAAACTTTAACTGTCAGTTTCCTTGATTTTAATATTTATCAGAGCTGAGCTTGACTGCCTTTGCACTACAGGATTATATAAATCAGTAAAAAAAAAAAATAAAACTTCAATTCTACCAAAATCTAGTCATAAAAAGATTTAATGGAAAAGGTTAAAAAAATGAGATTGGAGCTGGAAGCGTGGCTTAGTGGTTAAGACCACCTTCTACAGGACCAGGGTTCATCACAAGACCCACATGTGTCTAACGCTAACCCTAATGCTCTCTTCTAGCCTCTGCAGGTGATATCCATACACATAAGTGGTGTTCACACATACATGAAAGCAGAACACTCATACATTCAAATAAAATACACCTTATTAGTATTTTTAATGTGTGAAGAAATGTTTCATCAACTAAGAGCATGCTCTGCTCTTGCAGAGGACCTGGGTTTGGTTCCCATCACCTACAATGAATAGCTCACAACCATCTGAAACTCCATTTCCAGGGGATTTAATGCCCTCTTCTGGCCTCCATGAGCACTGCATAAGATGGTGCTCACAAACTCATGCAGGGATAGACACTTCCATACACAAAGCAAAATATGAATCAATAGATATTTCTAGAACATGAGAGATCAAGACAAATCATTTATTCAGATTGAGCAAATGGAAAGAGAGCTTTCCTGATCCAATACCCTTCTTTGGGAATAGGCAAAAATAAGATCAGAACTGTGATTCTGTGGATTTACGCCCAAACAGTAATCCCAAATCCTTTTATTTTGTCACAGCCCTTTCATATACTTAGTCCCAAGACTCCTGCACTTTCACACTACAGAGAATGAATATACTGAGGGTAGCCTTCCAATCATAAGGGAACCACAATTTCTACATTACATTTCCGTATTTGTGGCACCAAAATTTGAAAATAACCTAAAACACAAATTTTCTCATTTTTATTCATTGGCTCCTCAGAAGGTCCCTTGAATAGTTCCAAAAAGTGATGGGTCAATAAAGAATAGACTAAGAGTACATATCAAAGTTTAACTACTTGATACAGTATTAAGCATTTTACAGATATTATCTTCTTTAGTCTTTGCACTGATGCTAGGCAAGAAGCTATTGTGTCATTGTGGTTCCCTAGTCCTTTTTTAGACATGAGAAAATAGGGGTGATAAGAGTCACAGTTGGAATGTGAACCCAGAATCTGAATTTAAAGCAGTCAGAACATTTGACCTACTCAGTATATCTAGAGTATAATACAATTCCCTCTTAAAGCAGGGGGCATCTAATGGTTGTATGTTTGACATAACACTCTCAAATTCTATTTTGAATATTGAAATTTTCAATATTCATGGCATGGTCCAAGATCACAATGACAAAGAGCAGTTGAAAAGTCAGAGATCTAGACCTTTCTGACATCAACCTACAGCTGTCTCTTCCAGTCTAGTAGCTCCTGCTGGGCTGGTGGTCTCCAAGCTCTTTAGGACCTCATGAACATCTTATCCCATAACATTGGAGATGGAGGCCTCATGACCTCCCATTTCAGAGTCTCAGCTAACTGAATTCTTCCAGAGTCTTTGAAACTAGCTGATGAAGAAGGGGCCTCTGCTTGAAGGGTTGCTGAAGAGTCCCCTTTCTCGTTGGTCTTCTACTAATGTCACCTGTCAATTCAGTCTGTTTAACACCCCACTACCAGGCCTCTGCTCACACAAGTTTCTGCTGCAGTGTTATCATAAAGCCAAAGAAGCAAAACACACGAAGTGAATGACTTCCATCTTGTATTGTCTGCTACCATCTGCTATCCTTTATACTAAAGACAGGGTGGAGAAGAGGGAAGCAAGGAAAATCACTCACCTACTCTAGCCTCTGTCTGGTCTTCTACTCTGTTTTCCCTCACCACACTCCTAATGGTTATCCTTCTATCTTGAAACTGCCTCTTACTCCTAATGCCTCCTGCTCCCCAACCAGTGAGTTCTTACTGCTTATCCTTCCTAGTCCTCCTTGTCATACCCCAAGCCTCCCTTCCTCCCTACCTTATGTTCAGCTGGCCATCAGCCCTGCACCAGAACATGCAACTGTAAGCCACCATTCCAACAACTTGGGCATGGTCCCAATGTCTCAAATCTTGGCTCCTGTACTTCCCATGGCACAGAGACGGCCATGGGAGAGGAATTTGTGCATCTACAAAATACAGAAGTGCACTCAAGGACCTTCCACTCAAAATCTGATGCCATGCTGCCAGCCTGGCAACCTAATGAGCCTTTCTATTATTGACACTGTAAGAAATTCTTTTCTGACTTCTACATAACTGAATTAGAAACAAGTCTTGGAGCACAGAAACATAAATGCTGAAAACTGTCAATACAGAAAAATGTCAGCTAGATGAATTCTGTATGTTGTCTGATGTGTAGATGTCACTTTTTGAAATCTGAATATTCATTTGAATTAAGATAAATCATTTGTCATTTAAAGTGCTTCATAGTCTTACTCAACATGGCTGTGTTTGGTGCCTAGAAGAGCAACTGTTGCTTGTGGATCTATTTTTTCCATGGAGATTTGCTTCCAATGTGATTTCATTGCACTGATGCCCAAGGTTGTGGCCTAACAAGGCAGTCTCTCATGTGAGAGAATAATACTCTATCTTTTGTTTCCTTCTCTGAAATACAAATGTGCAACTAACCCTTTTCTCCTCGCTTCTTCTTTGTCCTGTCAATATGGTCCTTGAGCTGAATGCGGACCTGTCTCTCATTAGGTTGGTCTCGTATAAATGGATGCTTCATCAGTTGTTCTGTGGCTGGTCGCTGGCTGTGATTCTTCACCAAGCAGCTCTCAATAAATGACTGGAATTTTTTTGACCTGCCAAACAAAAGAGATGAATTCACGGATAAAATGACAACATAAAAGAAAAGCAAACACATATTTTGAAATATGGCCTTAAAATGGAAAAAAAAAAGTCCATCCTGTGAACACAGGGGTCAACCAAACACAAATCAGTCTCAGTATATCAATACAATGAAGTTCAAAAGTCAAATCACAAACAACACACACATAAGGTAACATACACTAGTTATTATGTGCATGGAAACATTTTCACACAGGGAACACAACATTACACAGAATACTGAAAGGAATAAAGGGGAATGACATCTGCAGGAAGTTATTTCCCCCAGAAAGCCCCAATTTCCTCCTAGATAAACTCTATGATAAAAAGGTCTGGGAGCAGGGAGGGCTCGGGAGCAGATATCACACCAGCGATCAGGGCAGCCAGTTACTGTGGACTTTAGCCAGGATTTATGGATGGGGCATGTGTGTCCTTGCTGAAAGTTCCAAGCAATTATCCAGAGTCAGAAGTAATTAAGTTCCCAGCTTCCCAGTATGCCGTAGGAGCTCAGTGTTTCTCCCCAAAGATCTCAGTGGAACCCCTGACACCTGAGCACCTTGCCTGCTCAGGAGGGCCATTTTTTCTTTCTGTTGCCCTCCTGTGGCTGCACTGTGGATCCCCAAAGGATGGCTTTCTCAAATTCTTCAAAGGGAACATTTCCCAGAAATGCATGTTTCAGGTTCACAAAGTGTCTTCAGCACACAGAAGAATACCATGTGCAACGTGTCCTCTACCATCCAAGCGCAAGAGAAGGGGTGGGAGGAGGCTCAGCAGGGAAAGCCTGATGGATGGGGAGCAGCTGGTATCCTAGTCCTAGAGTAAGGGGGGATGTGGGGGGTGGAGGCTTAAGGATGTCTCCCGAAGCTGAGGGTCTAACTCTTCTGGAGCGATATCGAGACAGAAGCACCAGCAGAGATCCTGCATCAGCAGTGTGCAAGAAGAGAGCCAACTCCTGAAAGTCACACACACACACACACACACACACACACACACACACACTAAATAAATGTTTAATATGTATTAAATATGTATAGAAAACAATGCCAGAGAGAGTATGTATAGGATACTCTCTGCTTCTGCCCACATCAAAGCAACTTCTTACCTTATTCCATGTTTTTCAAATAATAAATTTTCTTCCTACACTTCTGAACTATGTATGAGCTTTGAAAGTTTCTTGCACATGTCTATAAGCAATGTAGCATCCTTAGCCACTGGCTCTCTCGCAGATGAAATACAGTTGGCTATATCATGGACTAGAAATGGTGACAACAGAACTATGTGCCTGCTTGTGATGTCTTCCAGACCATTCTTTGTGTCTTCCTTACTGGAAGTGTTCAGAGGGGTCAGGAAATGCCCAAGTCATTGTCATATTATGAGCACACTACCTGCTCTACGTATTCAGTGAATGAGTGCATGGCCAGACACACATAATAGTGTCTGGCTGTGTTCCAGTCTGTGCTGGTGAGAGACAGAAAGGGAGGTCTGGGGACTCATGGCTCAGTGGGTCTAGAACTTGCTGTTTAAGCACGGAATCAAGTTTGGACCTCTAGCATTCCTGTGCATAGCTAGCAGTCAGTGTGCACCTATAACCCCTGTGCTGGGAATGGGGGACAGGACAGGCGGATCCTCAGAGCTTACTGGCCAGCTAGTCTAGCCTATTAGCAAGTTCAGGTTCTGGGTCAGAAAGTCTCAAAATGCCAGATGGAAAGTGATTGAGGTAATTACCTGACACTGCCTTTTGGCTTCCAAATATGTGTGTGTACAAATGTGCATATGCCCCTGTCCACATACATATACTACCTACACACAACACACAACACACACACACACAGAGAGAGAGAGAGAGAGAGAGAGAGAGACAGAGAGACAGAGAGACAGACAGAGAAGACAGACAGAGAGAGAGAGAGAGAGAGAGAGAGAGAGATTGTATGGTTTTCTTTCCAAGATCAATAAAAAAAATACTGAAACAAAGACTCGTCATCTAAGGAATAAACTGGAAACTATAACACTAACCTCAAAACACATCAGCAAGCCTGGCATGCAGCTCAGAGGGCTGCTCTAGGTAGGAAAATCACCATCAAAACGATGAAAACAAAAGCGACTTCACGACAGAGAGCTATTAAATATTCACAAGGAATGAAACAGTCATTCTCTCACTCACTGGCAGCTAGGAAGAAGTGCTTGTTTTTTATTGTAAAGTGCTCCGCTATTAATTAGAGGGTGATAAATAAAAGCAATCACATCCAATTTGAAAAATGAGATCCAGACCTCAATAGACTGTGCATTCCTTTCTCTGACACTGACATCTGAAACAAAACAACCAGAAAAAGCCAGGAAAGCCTCCTGCTCTCCAGGCAGAACTATGTGTAAGCAGTGTTCCATTAAAAGAACCAGCCATGAGAGTTCTCTTTATAGAACTCTGCTGCAGGGAAGGAGGACCTCAGAGAGAATGGCCTGGCAGTCAAAGGACAGAGAGACTGGACACAGAGCTCTGTAAAGCTGGCAGTGTGCCTACACTTCTTCACAGGCATCATTTGAAGAGAAAATGTTGCTCACTGAAAATATCCTCAAGCCTAGTATGTTGGTACATTCCCATAATCCCAGCAACTTGGAAGGCTGAGGCAGGAGGATCACCATGAGTTTGAGGCTATAGGTTTTATAGTGCATCCAAGGGCAACCTGGACTAACCACATGGCGGGACCCTGTCTCCACAAAATAAAACCAAAACTAAACACCCACATCTTCAAAGAAGGGGTCCCTTATTTTCTAAGTTAGTGTGACCAAAGAATCAATATATTTAAGTACACATTCAATTACAAGTGAAAGTACTTCACAGGTATTGAGTACCTGCTCACTGGGTGTTTCAATGGGTTCAAAGTAAATTTATGGTACTGCTGGTAACTTAGCTTTGTCTCTCAGAATAATAACTTAAAAAAATAACAACTTCTAGGAAGGTTAGCAATACAGCCTTGCCAAGAGTTGGATGGAGTGGTGAATGTGAAGGATTGATACTCAGGAGTGATGGATAGACAGGGAATGCCAGCGCTTGATGCTCCCAGTCTGAGGTTCAACGGTCACCCTGGTTATTCTCTGAAGATGCTTACATTAGCCATTGCACATCCACATGGGCAATTTTGGCCCTGTGATAGTTCTCACTGCCTTGGGCTTTATCACTTGCTGTATGGCTCAGGACAAATGGCTTATCTTTTCTGCTCCCATTTCCCTGGCTGCAAATACAAATGTCCCCAGAACTCATCTCAAAATACTACTGTAGTGATAAAGTAAGTTAATTCCTTTAAAATGCCTCTGGTAATTAGCACTGGCACACTGCAGGGACATTTGACCACTGTCTGATCATCACTGGACTCAAGGATGAGAAAACTCCTTCCTAAGGATTGCAACACAGAAATGAGACATTGTTTACCCCTACTCCCCAATTCTGTTGAATAAAATGGGCACGGGGAGCACTGTTCACTGACAGGGAGATGTTTGAAGGACGACTTTATCATGGTGGGAACATCACAGAACCCATCTGCTCCACCAAGTTGGCTAAGGAATCACCAGGTGGCCCAGTCCATTCATTGCTAATGAAAATGGTGTGTAGCATGTTACTGCCCAAGGTCCATTAAGGGAATTGCTCTAGATACATTTGGTTTGGGAAAACTGAACAGAAATGTTAATTTTGAAAGCTTGTGCTCCAGTTTGGGTTTCAATTTTGATGAAGTGTGCAATTACAATACAAACTAGCAAATTCAATTTATTTCCAATTTTGTGGCATCTACTTAATATCATTATTATTTTATTTGAAACACACACACACACTCACACACACAAAACCAGACACGAATTGTGCGTGTGCAAGTGAGCATGTGTACACACGTGTACACACACACACACACACACACACACACACACACACCCACACACACACACACACACACACACACACACACACACACCTTTGTCCTTTCTTAAAATGAAAGTGCCTGACAGCAGGCAGGGAGCTGTGAAAAATAATGGGGGTTAGGGGTGGTGTTAGGGGTAGGGTGTGTACTGGCCACTTTTTTGTCAGCTTGACACAAACCAGGGTCATTTGAGAACAGCTGTCTTCAATGGAGAAAAAGCCTCTATCAGATTGGCCTGTAGGCAAATCTGTGGGGGCATTTTCTTGGTTAATGATTGATATGTGAGGACCCAGCTCACTGTAGACAGTGAGGACTTGTAAACACTGCTGAGGTCAGGCAGTGAGTAGCAGAGTTAGATGCCCTTCAAGGAAGCCCTGTGATCCACAGCAGAGGGCTGGGAAGTGAAGCCTCACTTAGGACATTAGAGAGCCAGGATCATGGGATGTCCACCGAGGAGGGGGGCAGGCATGCAGTGGAGCCATTCTAAGAGAGGCTGTGTGTGCTGGAGGCAGAACAGGAGAGCCCAGGCCTGGGGGAGACAAGATGACACTACCAGGAGCCTGAGATGCTTGAAATAGAAGTGCAGGATTGTGTTTCCCTCGCTAGGTACAGACCCAGTTTTTGTCCTGTCTTTCCTTTCTGTGCCCATATTCCTTCCCACTTGGGATGAAAATGGTTACTTTGTGCTGTTGCAAATCGGAAAGATGTGACTTGTTGTTTTTTTTAATTTTACAGGTTTTGACAAGTAAGAGGCTGTCTTGGTTTCACACAAGCCTTTGGGCTGTTGAGCAATTGGATTTTGAAGTGTTAAGATTTGGGGGCACTCATAGGTAAACTAAATACTCTTTGCATCATGAGATGATCATGAATGTTTGAGGCCCAGGGGTGGAATTTTATAGTTTAAAGTGTTATGTTTGAGTGTCGAGTTGACAAAGGGTGGACTTGTGATGGTTCATCTTCATGGCCAACTTGATGAGACTTGGAATCACTCGGGAGACACACATCTGAGTGTGGTAGAAAGGGTGTGGCCAGATGATAGGCTCAATAGGAGGGAAGATCCATCGTGAATGTGGGCAGTGCCGTGTATGGACTGGGGTCTCAGTCTGCATAAAAGGGAAGGAGGAGGAACACAGCTAAATATCAGCATCCATCCCTCTCTGTCTCTTGATTGTGGACACAGTGTGACAACTGCTTCACACCCCTACTGCCAGGATGGACTGTGTCCCTTCTTTAATTGTGAGCTTTGTCAGGTGTTTTGTTGCAGAAATGATAAAGTGACTAATGCAGCCCCTTAGGTGACATGCCTGCCGATGGCCTGCTAGTTCCTCTGTGGAAGAGCTCAAAATACCTCCCCAGAACAGTGAAGGGAGAAGAGGAGACTCATCGACAGGAGACAGGAAGTAAGACCCATGGCATACAGCAGGCTGTCCCAGGGATCTTGGCACATTCCAAGCAGAAATCTGGCAGGCATCAGGCTCTGCAATGTCACTATTGCTTCCAGGGGAGGGAACTGAGCTGGCTTCCCTCTCCAGGAGTCGGATCCAGGGAGGGGAGAGAAGAAATTTCAGAAGATGGAGGAAGGGCCCCTGTGCTCTGTCACACATGCTATGCGGTGCCCAATGAAAGGCTGTTGCTGGGGAGAGAAGCGCTGGTACCACAGTGACCCTCTGAGAGGAAGGAGAGCAGGGAAGCTTTGCCTCCTGTTACCAATAGCAACTCACACTCCCCTTGCAGGTCTGGCAACTTAGAGACTGTCATTGCTTGTGACTTTCTGTTTCCTTCCTCTCCCTGTGTAGTGAGCCTTTCCTCTGTTTAGCCAGGGTTGCTATGTCATTACCAGCTGATTGGTACTAATTAAGCTTGCTCTGTGTGGTGGGTGTGTGACTGTGGGTGGGAAGCAGGAGAATGCTAGTCAAGGGCCTGGGCCTTAAGTCCTTGGAAAAGGGACAAATGACTTGTTTCTTTTTAGTTGAACTGCCCAGGACTTATGTCTAGGGAAAAAAAGCAAGAGGTCACAGGTGGGCAGGGATTAACTCCAATGCAAGAGGAACCAGAGATATAAGAATGTATCAGAGGCCAGGCCACTTTTGTAGCAGGGGAGTGGAAGCATCGGATCTTTGTTACAGAATAACAAGACATAAAGACACTGCATAACTACACAGGAAAGTGACAGACAACACATAGCATAACCTGAGGACCCGCTCCCAAACCTCAGTTGGCCATTCATCATTCACATTCCCATCACGCCTCCTCATGACAGCATACATGTAGTAGCTCTCTTTAGAACAAGTCACCTTTTTTTCAGGGTAAGCTTATTAAGAACAAAGGTTATATTGCTCTCCCCAAAATAGGAAGCTAGCTTGCCCTGTCATAAAGAGAAAGGGACAAAACAAAACAAAACAAAACAACAACAAAGAACCACAATCTCCCATGTAAGAGATATCACATGAACCATTAGCAGGTCTGTGTGGGTGCACAGGGAACCACTGTCTTGAGCAATAGAAGCCAGCCAATCTAATGGGTTGACTCTAAATCATCACCATCTCTGATGAAATATTCCACAGAGTCAGGAAAACACACTGTAGGCATAAATCACGGTGTTTTCATGCCCTTACTTGGGCTCCATTTTGGCTAATAGCTCTTTTCCTTGAGGATAGGGCTAACAACTTGCTGTACAGACAGCAGGTAACAAAGCTGCCAGTCCAAGATGAATGGTAGCATACAGAATGTCACCTACAAGCTGTGGTATGCATTCTTTTAGCCTAGCCAGAAGGACCCAGGGTGGGATCTGAGGTAATTCAAAAAAAGAGGCTGGGCAAATGACTTACTCAGTACAGTGCTTATCATGCAAGCACAAGGACCTGAGTTCAGATACCCAGCACTCACCTAGAAAGCCAGGTGTGGTAGCATGTGCCTGTAATCTCAGCTCTATGGAAACTGAGGCAGGGGGGTTGCTGGGGCTCACTGGGCAACCTGCCTAGACAAATTGGTGACCCTCAGGTTGAATGAAACACAGTAGAAAAACAACTGTGAAAGATAACTGAGGTCAACCCCATGGCCTCAACACTCAAGCACATAAATGTACATCTGCAGACACATGTACACACACACACACACACACACACACACACACACACACACACACAC